TTACATTCATTGAAGTTGTAACTATACATTCAGACATTTAATTCAACATGATAAATTTTGGAAGAAATGTAAAGTCAAGTATTGTATAAAATCTGTTAAAATTGTAAAGTCTATCTAAAATAATCTACACATGTAATAGACCCTAAAGGTAGCAAATTAAATTTATTCCAGTTAATAGCATAACCATGCTATAAACATATTGCTTTGTCAACAAACACAATAATTTATATAATTTTCAAGAATAGCCATAATATTATTGATATATAAACAATATATATTCAGTGTTAAGTGCCTTGCCTTTAATATCTTGAGACTGTATAATGGAATCTACCAACGGTTCAAAAACCAAAGTGAAAATCAAAAGAGGCAAGGTACATTGTTTATCATTTAAAGGGTCACAATATAATGTAAAGGCCTGACAAACAAACTGATTGGTGATCATTCAAGCTACAGAATGAAAATACTAAATCGTAATGCCATTAACAAAAATATAATAAAAACCACACCTTCTTAAAATGTATTTCAATGTTCAGTCTGCACCCTATCAAAGGCCTTTTCAGTATCTAACCAATTAGAAAAGCTGCTTTCAGTTTATCTGCAGCTATACCAATCTGCAATATAATATCAATCACCAGGCAAATATTGATCAGATACTTATCTAACCCAGCCATCTTTGATGCCTAAGGTTATTGAAATGAAGAACTTATTCCATAAGCCCAGATAATCAACCTCTCCTTCTGTCACATTGGGAATAGTGCAGTACAAAGATTTCCAAACAAATCTAATCCTCTACCAGGATCTATCTAGGTTCACACAGTAGCTTTTCTTACCCACGGTTTATTAGAAGCTAAGGTATATTGTTTTGTTTTGTTTCTGAATACAAATGCTGTCCATTTTGTACTGTTCAGCCTCTCTGCCCTTACCAGAAATAAGATATAAAATGACACTGGAGTGGCTTAGGTGCACACCGCTTTTTCATTCACATTGGCATCTGAGAATCTATATTTGTTGTTTAAATATATGGTCACTGACCATTTATTTGATTTGTTATTTATAATGCAATTTTTATATTGCAATTTTTATATTGCACGCCTGATGTTATAAAGTCAGGCAGCATAAAGTTATTTAAAATAAATATCAGATTTTTTAAACATGTTCTCAAAATCAATCGTGAAATGTCTGCGACTTAACAGATCAATGAGTATTCTCCTTTCCTATTTGCCTCTTCTATGTTCTTCCATCTCCACTGATGCTTCAAAGTTTAATTAGTGTGGCTTTTGCTACTCAGTTGGGACTGAGTCCAGTAGTCTATATGTTAAACTATACTAATGATTGTACTAATGAGATACACAAACATATATACACACACACATACATGCATGCACACATACAGTATATATAACATAGTACTACTAGAATGAAATCCTGTTACTCCATGGTATTTTTTTTTTCAAACCCTCTCTACATATACAAAATCTAAGTTTTAGTTAGGTCAAATAAAACAAGATTGTCTAGCTATGTATTTTCAATGACCATTCTGGCACAATTTCTATTTGTATTCCTCCTCCACCACCCCAATGTAAACAAATACATTAATATATAGGAAAAACCAGAAATCTTTGGTAATGAAAATAAAAAGTTTACTACTTTTGAAAGACAAATTGCATAAGGGCTTAGCGGGAATTCAAGTTATAATCTTCATCTATAAAAGCTTATTATAGTAGCATTAAGACTGTTTCTTCATAGGTAGATAGGAAAAATCATAGTTACCCCAAAAAGGCTCCTTAATTATATAAGTGCAGTTTTATCCTTATACTCAGACATAAGCCTCACTTAATGCAGCTTGATCCCAGTATATAGCATTGCAGCCTAAATTTCAAAAAATATTTTATCATTAAAACTCCATTGTTTTTAGATTCCATTATTACCGTTGGACATAATGAGTATTTTGAAACACTCAAGATCACAGCTTTATTTTTACAAAAGCTATTTTTCCATACTCTTTGAGAACAGTGAACAACTAATACTATGTAATTGTAGCAACATTTACTGAACGAAAGTACACATTAATAAGTAACATTAAAGTACACAAAAAACTAATCTGGATCTCCAATTTTGTTTTTGCTAGGCAAAATAAATAGATGGCTACAATAACATGGTAAAATTAAGACACTGTCAAGAAAGCTATATTACTTTTTTATTTCATGAAAGCCAGGGTATTATCATAGTTAAATATTTGGGGAACTGAATAATTTAAGACTATTTAATTTTGGATTAACTGTCATGGCTAATACAATGCTCATATTCAGTAAAGAAAGTAACTCTATGCAGCTGCAACCTTCTCCAAATGGAGATGTTACATTGCATTAGTATTCATCCAGTCCTTGAATGGATGGATGGATATTTTTATCCCTTTTCCAAACTACAACATATTATTATACTTAGCTAATTGTTTAGACCAGAATTAGTTACAGAGATTTTTTATTTTATTTTACTTTATTTCATTAGCATCATGATCATACTTCAAAATAAGCATTTTTGAATTAGGATTGGACATACTGAAAATAGTATTCATAATTCAGAAATGTGATAAAGTAGGAACTATTTATCAGGGCTGAAGGATCATAGATAAGAGAGAAATATATGAGGCCCTTAAAGCAGCTGCACTATCTACTTATTTCAAGAAGACCACATCAAAGGAATTAATATCATTTACTCACTATATTAAATGTAATCATGTGATTTACATTTTAAGAATTTAGTTGAAGTATTTACCATTTAGAACCAGTATGGTGTAGCAATTTAAGGCACCATGCTAGATATCAGGTGACTGACTTCTAGTTCTGTCTGACACACAAAGCCAGCTGACTTTGGACCACTGTCCCTCAGCACTAGAAAAAAAGGTAATGGCAAATAACTTTCAAAAATCTCATCAAGAAAACTGTGTGGGCTATGCAGTCACCAAGAATCAAGAGTGACTTGAATGCATATACACACATTCAAGAATTTAGCTGAAATATTAACAAGAGTAATAATGGCTATTTAATGTCCAAACATATTGAAATTATAATTTGCACTAGCTTTATTTTGTTGGATTTATTTCAATTAAATCTGTACTGTGCATGCTATTTAAGTGAAATAATTTGTCCAGTATGTTTAAATATTTTCTCAGAGATTAATTTTAATTTATTTCAATGAGTACCCCAACACCCAAATGTGCAAAATTTCTATAACATGTTTGTAAAAAAGAAATTTCTCATGTACAAGCAACAGACATTCTAACAAATACAATAGTCATGAAATGCTGGTATTTCTGCAGTCAACACATTACAATACATCTTTCAAATGGGATTTACAGGTGCACTCTGTGTCTTATTCTTCTTTGGTCACAGCAAAGGTTTACTGAGATAAAATTACCAACCTCACTATGGCATATAATGAGCACACACTGAACAGAGACACATCACAGTGATACACTATTAATCTACTTCAAAGCTAGCTCTTGTAAAAATGCATTTCCATAATCAGGATACACAGTTCACTTGCCAGCTTGGAATTCAGTTTCAGCTAGCAGCTTATCTGTTACATATTTTAATAATCATATATGTTAACATAACTGCTAAAAAGTAGCTAATCCACAAGTTATAAGCATACAGAAAACCACTGATTGTTGGCTGCCTAAGACTAGATCTGGTTGTACAAGTAGTTTAAAAACTAGTTGTATATAAAGACTGTAAGCCTAAACATGCTTATTAAAAGTGAGTCATACGGAGGTCAAGGTGATCTGCTTCTGAGAGAGATCTCTATTTAAGATCAGGCTTCCTTCATGTAGAATGTAGGTCTCAGAGCACCCTCTTACTGACTATAAGGGTATTTTTCCATCAACACTTATTAAAATGCTTTGAGAAAAAAAATGCATCTATCTGAACGGAAGTTTACTAAAAACAGACCCCGGAGCTCTTTAACAAATGTATATTAAAAAAAACCACCCACAAATTTAAACCAGTGCGTTTTAATTTAATATCCGCAATTGAAACTTGTGTTTCCTGTCCGAAAAACAGAGCAAATTCTGTATCGTCAGTTAAGTTTAATAAAGCCCATGCACACAGTTTTCAAGTCTGTCACCTGAAATCTCATTTTATATCTGTTTCAACGACAACCGGGTAGAGAGGCATATCGATAAAGTGCTTTCTCCCATTCCGTAAACACATTTCCCTATTTTCAGCGTGGGGAAAAAACAAACTGCAGACGCGCTCTCGGTTCCTGAAGTGTTGAAAACACCAGTTAAACTGCAAGCCAATCTAAAATACTCCGACGCATTTTACAGAGATGTTTACCCATTCCCACTCCCCCTGCCCCAGCTCTGGGTCCTCCTACTACAGAGAAAAGACTCGCCTGAAGAATTAGCGGGTTGATCCGCACATAAACTGAAAGGCTGGGACATCCGGTCTTTTTCCACCACTCCGGCCAATTCAAACTTCAAAGCCTCTCAAGCAAACCGCCGCTGGGCAGGTATTGAAATGGCTTTCGGCCCGTGCGCCCTTTGAACGCGCACATTCCTTCTGCGACCCACCATCTCCCAGAGTAGAGCAAAAATCAAAATGGGGTTGTTAGCGCCAGAAACAAACACTTCTCGGATGGTAAAATAGCAAAGGATGCGTGCGCTGGGCGAGGGGGAGTTTGCTGCCAAAACAATGCTTGGGAAGCAGCGCCGCACGCTGACCTGCCCCCGAAAGCGACCCCTGGCCGGCTTCCCTGACAAATCCCAGCTTCCTCGCAGGCAGGCAGGCAGGCAGGCAACTCTCGCGGCTCGCCCGAATGTTTGCAAACACGCGCCCTCGCTCCGCACGGCGCCCCAAGTGCCGCGTTACCTGCCCGCGCAGGGGAGGAAAGACGGCGGCCGCATCCAGCCCCGACCCCGCGTCCCAGCCACCCCTTCCTTCGGCAGGCAGGCCGAAAGGATCCCGCCGCTCTCAAGTGTACCCCGCAGCCCCACTCACCCAGCTCCGGCTGAAGTGGGGGGTGGCGGCGGCAGGAACGCCGGGATCTTCTGGGCGACGCCAGCTCCCGCCGCTTGGCTCCCGACGTCCGGCTGCGGCGGGTCGTGGGAGCCGGCGCTGAGGAAGCCTCCGCGGCTGGGGGAGGACGCGGGGCTGCCGGGGGTGGAGTGCGGCGCCGGCACCACGGGCTGGGGGGCGGAGGAAGACGTGGCGCCCCCGGCGGTCCTGGCGAGGGAAAGGGGCAGCTCCGGGCACTCGGCGGGCTCCTGCAGCCGGTCCAGCTCCACGCTCCGCACTTTGCGCAGCTGTTTCCGCTTCCAGTCTGAACGCGACTCCCTCTGGCTGCCGCCGCTGTCTCCGGTGGGGAGCCCCGCGACGAGCCCAGCTGCAGCGCCGCTGCTGTACCGCATAGGCTTCGGGCTCCGAGCGCCTGCGGCGGGCGCTGCTACAGAGGCGGCAACCTCGGCGGCGGCAGCAGCTTCGTTCCCCGAAGATAATCCTACCGAAGAGGCGATGTGATTCCCAGCCGCCGCCGCCGCTGCCGCCGCCGGTCCTCCTGCCGCCGCCATTTTCTCTGGCGGGTCACATCCCAACCCACACTCGCCCTCCGTCAGTCAAGCGCACCGGCTCTGAGCGGGCAGGGAGCGAATTCCCCGGACCGCCACTACGCCTGCGGCGTGGCTTGCGCCGGTTGCGTAGCCGGAGGGGAACTGGGCCGATGGGCGGGCCCAGGTTGCGGGAGGGAAGGAGAAAGAAAGGAAGAGGGCGGAGGCGATAGGTAACCTGAGGGGCGACGCGGCTCGTTTTGCGCAGCCGGGCTCTCTCAGCGCCTCCTCTGGCCGGCCAGGTACATTTGGCTTTTGGCTCTGCGCTCGCCTCGGCCGCTCCTCCTCGCCTCCTTCCCCCAATCAAGTTTCTTCTCTCAGCTGCCCTGCTTCCCACCAGAGAAACAGTCTCCTGGGGAAAGTGCCTGCTCCTCACCACGGATTCTTCCGTTTGCCTGCGCTTCGGGAGGATTGCACACCGATTTGCTCTGTGAAAAAGCCGTTGTATCTGTCCGGTCAGCAGAAATAAGGCAATTAGTGGACTTCTGAGGCATTTAGCAAGGATAGAAGCATCTTGAGCGGCAACGGGGGAGATTTTTTTTTCAGGACTCCCCCTATAATAACGGTGGCATTTCCCGTAAGTCGGAAACTAGAAGTGAAGACTTTCAGGCAAAGCCTTATGTGCTGAAGGTCTGCTTTAAGACAGGTTTGTTTTTGGGAATGGAAAATTCAAACCCAAGAAGTTTGAAATGGGATCAGTTTGGTCACTCTGCTAGGGAAATTAAACATGACTGGCTAATAAATCCCCCTATGGTGGTGTTGACATGCCCCCCCCCCCAGTTAATAATGTTTTACCAATTGTTCTCTTTTAATTTTTCATAACACAGAGCCACAAACTAACTTGCATCATGGTAGGTTCAAATGCTTCCAGCTGTGTGTGCTGTGTAAATCTAGGCTATAAATAAGGGGTTTTTTTTGTTTGTTTTAGTTTTATTGCACAGTTGCTTTACTTTGACAAACATTTTTGTCAAAGTATCTCCGAGACCGCCTCCTGCCGCAGATTACCTCCCATCGACCTGTACGCTCCCACAGAGTGGGTCTCCTCAGGGTACCGTCGGCCAGACAGTGCCGGCTGGCGACCCCAAGGGGGAGGGCCTTCTCTGTGGGAGCTCCCACCCTCTGGAATGAACTATCCCCAGAGATCAGGGTGATCCCGGATCTCCCTTCCTTCCGCCGCGCCCTTAAGACATGGTTATTCCAGCTTGCGGGACTGGCCTAGGGGAAAACTTTTAGAGGGGGTTTTAATTATAATTTTAATTAGACCAATTATTAATATTTCCCTTTTAATTAACTTTTAAATTTGTAGTTTGATATTTTGTACTTTTTTATCTGGTTGTTAGCCGCCCTGAGTCCGCAAGGAGAAGGGCGGGATATAAATCTAAAAAATAAATAAATAAAATAAATAAATAAATTTTTCTCTGGTCAATTTATTCTGTAACATGAAAGGCACTTTAAACAAAAATAGAAGTCTTGAGGATTTTCTACAATTCAGTAATTTCTTAGCAAACTTCACAGGTTTATACTTTTTGATTATTAGATTAGCATCTTGAACTTGTAAATCAGTGTCATTGACAGCTCCTGGATAAACCTTTGAATAGATTGAGTGGCATCCTGACACTGCAACTCAGTAGTGGTGTAATGCAACATTAGAGTGTTGTACGTGCCATTTCCATTCTTAGGTACCCTGGAATGTCATTTGATACTCTCCTCTGCCCTTTCTCGCATCCAATTAGAAAACAGTGAGGAGGTACATCTAATTTTTCATGAGCCTTACGGTTCAGAGAAATTAAAGACTTGATCCAGCTATATTAGACAACTTCTGTCCAGTTGCTAAATTTCTTTTTGTTTGTCAAAAGGGGCATGGAGAATCAACTACACAGGATCTTGGACAAAACAGATTAACTAGAAGCCTTTGAGTCAGGATTCAGGCCTAGACATGGGACAGAAAGACAGTTTGCTCTCCTGGGTGATCTTTGTTGGGATCTGGATGGTACAACATAGTTTTGTACAGTGCTTTTTTTCTAAAAAAAAAAAAAAAAAAAAGGTGCCGGAACTCACATACGTCATACAACCCACCTTGCCTACTTTATAAGGTTCCATCCCAAAAAGGTGCCGGAACTCCGTTCTGGGCGTTCTATGAGAAAAAAAGCCCTGGTTTTGTACCATCCAAATAAGTTGCCCCTTTAGACTCCTTGCAAGACTAGAGAATTAGGAGAAGTGTTCTATGGTGATTCTGCTCCTACTTAAGTGAATGGTTCTACACAGTAGTCCTGCAGAAAGCAATCATGTTTTGGTTGCTGCAGCAAGGAGTATTACACAACACGATCCTATACCCAATGAAGCTTAATAATTAAATAACATTGGGTATAGGATCATGTTTGGGTGCTGATGATATGAAATATATATTGCTATTCAAAAACAGACTGGATATGATATGCGGTAAAGGCCTTCAGCTGGTGTCTAGAGGCTATGAGGGACTGGATCGGGAAAATATGCATAGATTAAACTCTTGCAAGATGAAGGATATCCACTCTTATTTCTGTTATAATTCTTATATACTTATATATACTTATATATATATATATATTATGAAGTCTCTCCTCAATGAACCCCAACCACATCAATCATTCCACTATGGCTCTTTCATCCTCCTTATTATTATTATTGCAATTTTTATTTTAAAAATACAAAGGAGTAAGTTCCTTTATGGTGCCTCACAAGATTGAAAAAAAATGGCTAACACATGACAGACCAGGTCATCCCTAATCGAGCATCACAGTGTTCAGAAGTGAATAGTTGTCTGAGGAGAGATGACAAAGTTATGTCTGTCATGCAAACTTAACCATAGACTTAAAAGAGATCTGTCAAATCTATTACATAGCTGGATCCATACTGTACAGATTTATTGGCTGCTGAAATTGAAGTGGAGTTGGGAAATTCGCAGACATTGTGAAATGAAGAGTTCAGTCAACTGAAAATCTTATCTTCCTGAATATAGTGTAATGAATATTAAAAGCCATAGATCTAGAGCAATAAAATTCTCATCATATCTTTCCATTCCAACAGAGGAAGATGCCAACTCTGGAATGACTAGAGGCATTCTTTGCAATATACCTTTTTGAACCCACTATATCTTTCACATACAATTTCAGTATTATTTTAGGAATCAGAAGTTGGAGCACTTGGATGATGTTCCCTGGTGGTTTAACAGAATTGGTGGTTTATTGCTTTATTTATTTAATTTGTATCTCACCTTTATTATTTTTACAATAACTCTAGGCAGCAAACTTATCCAACACATCTTCCTCCTTTTTCCCTTCAATAATAATCCTTTGAGGTGGATTGGGCTGAGAGAGTGTGACTGGCCCAAAGTCACCCGGTTGGCTTTCATGTCTAAGGCAGGATTTGAAGTCATAGTCTCCTGCTTTCTAACCTCATGCTTTAACCACTAAGTTAACTGCAACATTTATTGCACAATGATAGAGACCTATTTGTCTAACACCAATTTTAGAAAACTCTTTTGAGAACATCTGACAATGATCTATTCTTATGCCAAAATCTATAGAAAATTTGTGTACATTTTAATGCGCTGGCGGTGATAGTGGACAGAAAATTAAATTCAGGATTTGTGCTACAGTTTTCCTTGGTAGCAAGTCCTGTTGGTTTCATGAAGATTTTTTTGTTTTTATTTTTAAGGCTAGTTTTTAAATTATGGCTTCAAACACAATTACTTAAAATATACACAAAAAAGGAATACAACATTAATAGTTGGCCTTATTTTCCAATGAGTTCACAGATACTAATATAACCACTAAGTACAGGCAATCCCCGGGTTAAGAATGTCTCACAGCAGAAAATCTGTGGGGTTTTTTTTTACAATGTGATCTTCATTTATTTTCTCTTCATGAGAAAAGGAATATATTTCTTTCATATTGGTTATTCATACTGATATTCAGTTCACATTCATCTATCATCCTTTCATTCTTGACTCTGTTCTTGTTTTATCATACACATTTCTTAAATACTTCATTTCCAATGCATTCAACTTAATTTTTAGGTTTCTCTTTATAAGTGGTGTTCTTTCTCCCATATAGCAAAATGGGAAATATACACCTTCTATCTTTCTACTAAATTTTGTACACCTTAAACTTTTTTCAACACACTACCAAATTACACAAATGTTCTAATTTTCCATCATTCATGGATAACTTGTAATTGATCACTCTATTATGCTTGTCTAACACTTTGAAGTAGTAGAGTTTGATAAGGAAATGTTCAAATACTAAAGGTCTTTGAAATATTAATTTTCAGATTCTTATTCTTGTTGCATCATATCAGCTATCAACTGATCAGCTATAAAGCCTGCAGATAATTCAGGTTTAGCCAGCAGCATGACAATAACAGATTCAGATCTCCCATCAATATGACAAGGTCGGCCATGTCTGAAGGCCAAGGTCGGCCATGTCTGAAGGACGCGGCATTAGAATGACAAGGTCGGCCATGTCTGAAGGCCAAGGTCGGCCATGTCTGAAGGCCAAGGTCGGCCATGTCTGAAGGACGCGGCATTAGAATGGTGAGGGGGGAGGTTGGGGGACTAAGGGAGGGTGGTGTGATCAGTACAGTCAGTGGGAGGGGCAGATATGGCGGGAGCAGAGGACCATATCGGGTTTTGGGAGCACGCACACGCTGCTTACAAGCTTGCGGGTGCTCCAGTCCTCAGGACTCTACTCGGTCCCCAGGGATCTTAGACCCTCGGGCCCGGGATCACCGGCTGATGTTATGCAATGCCAGGTCCGTGGTAAACAAGGCCCCCCTCATTCAAGATCTTATTCAAGAGGGGGGTGCGGACCTGGCAGGGATCACCGAGACCTGGCTGGGCACGGAAGGGGGTGTACCCCTCATGGACATCTGCCCGCCGGGTTTCCAGGTATTTCATCAGCCAAGGACCCGGGGTAGGGGCGGTG